TCATGGCAGCAGTGTTTTGCATGTAATTTCATGTATTAAAAAAAACTTTATTAAGTAGGTTTATTAATTCAGTGGATGAAATACTCTACAGTATATCAGCTAATGCTTTCACACCAAATGTTACCAGCTCTGCTGTATTTTTTGTGGCCGTCTTAACAGATATTGTGTGTTTTTGTGTTGGACTTAACACATTTTTTTTTACCTCTCAGCCACAGGAAGAGAGATGAAATGGGACCAAACCTACATCAGTTTGACAGTAAATTACAGTCCCTCCTTTATTTTTTGCAAATGCTGTATTTTATATTTACACATTACATCTGTAATACAGTGCTTGTGTAGAATTTCATGCAAGCTGCTATAAAAAAATCTGTTTTTCCCCACAAGTGTTTGTAATGGAGATACGTGAGGCAATCAGACCATATCAGTTTTCAGAAAAAGAAATATTTTAAATGTTAGAATTTAGTGTATTGTTGTAGCATTGGAGATATAGCACAATATTTACAAAGTATATTAGTTCTTCAAATTCAAAATCAACATTTTGGTCTTCATCGGATGGCCTGATGGTTTTCACTTAATTCCAGATAGCCTGTTTTGCCTTAATCTGTCTAAATATTACACTGTATATACAAAAAATTGTAAAGGTTGTATTGATATTGTGCCTCTCCAGTGTTTTCACTCTCTAATTTAAGACTGTTCAAATGTTTTTGCAGCCACTTGGCATATTATCACTTGTGTCTTTTTACTTTATTTATAATGAGATAATAATGTGATGAGCAAGGTGATGATTGTTGTGTGATTGTGTGCTGTGTATGTACTAGTCAGATGTGTATAAATTAATTATAGTACACATTACATATTTCATCTCTAGCCTTCTTTTCATTCCTGGAGGAATATAAACAAACAACAAAACATCATACATTTGTAGAAGACCACATAAGAGATTTGATCTGCAAATCCCCATATGATATGGTGATAGTCATGTCTTTGTAATGGCTGGTGCTGCTCACCTCTATTACATATTCTAATTAACAAGCTCATTTGCAATATCCAGAATCCATCCACATACAAGGGAATAGAGCAGCCTCTACCTTCAAATGCTCCCCAAACACACACACACACACACACACACACACACACACACACACACACACACACACACACACACACACACACACACACACACACACTCACTCTCTCTCTCTCTCCTGGGTAAGACAACAGGTATGAACGTAAAGAGTAGAAAGTGGTTTGGAACATATGATTCCCCATTGAGCTGCTGGTTGATGGACGTGCAGATCAAAGCCCTTTTGTGCCACTGACTACGATTGAAGTAGAGAACAGGCAAGCACAGGAGACACATAAAAGAGACACTGCTAAATAGACGGTTTCTTCTCTACCTGACATGAACAGCTTGAAAAACAGTGACTGCATAAATACTATTTATCAACTATTAAAAAACACAGTACAGGACAGCAAAGGACACAGAGGAAATAAAAAGAGGAATTTCAAGTTTTACATTGATCAGCTGGCATATTATAGCATTCACGTTTTAACCATAACTGTCAGGAGAACATCGATATTCTCAAGTGAATGTTTATGACTGTGAGCCCTTGTAGCCAAACAGGCTATTTTTGATTGACCTCAGCTACGTGTGCAATCAAAATGCATAGGAAGACCTGTTTACTATAGATTTTGATAGTGATTTAGATTCACATTCAGAACTCAGTTTGCACACAGGCTTTTGGTTGCTTGCCTGTCCCACACATATAAAAATATACCTTTTACCATGAGACAAAATAACTTAACCTACCTTTGTCTGAGTGTATTAGCCCATTATTATGATGTAAAAGAATATGTCATCCTGTTACAATAACCAGATAGGTAGGTTATGTCTAATGGCTAAAATTGATGCAATGATGCAAACATTATATAAAGATCAAATATTTCACTGATTGGTATTGTGATATAAAATAACATATACCATGGATGAGGATTTTCTCTCATAGTGATCAATATCACCCACCCCTAGAAGGCTACAAACTAGAGCTAGATTGATAAATCGGCTGATATTAGCTTATTGCAGATGTATTGGTATGGGTGTATATTCCAGCCGGTAAGTATCGGGAAATTGCCAAACTAGGTTTGAGGTCATTTAGAGACTAGTCCCTCCATTATATAGTTTGTCCACCAGAGAGCACTGACAACTTGATTTTTTTAAGACTGATTGTAGCAACTGGACTAATTGCCCTGTAGCGTATTTGTAACACCTTATTCTCGTTGTTGGAGAGGTCGCTGCTGGGCTGAGGACGGACCTCTCTGCTAACTTGCTACCATCTGTTTCCCTCCACAGGTTCCACCTTTGCCTTGGTTTCTGGACATGCTGTTTTAGTTGATAGTTATTATATCTTGCATATTACAACACCCTCACACACATTTTCCATGCATCCATCATCCTGACCTGACTGAAACCACTGATGTTCATACCCCATACTTGTTCACTTTTACTTTGGCACTTGCCTTAATTTGGTTAATTTTGGTTCAAATAAACATATTTTGTTAAACTTCTACCATGGTGTCTCCCTTTTGTTGTGGTCTTTTGAGCCAGGTCAGTATGTACACAGATCATCCATAACATTATGACTACCTGACTGATATTTTGTAGGCCCCCCTTTTGCTGCCAAAAAAAGCCCTGACCCATCAAAGCATGGATTCCACTAGACCTCTGAAGGTGTGCTGTGGTAGCTGCTGCCGAGACGTTAGCAGCAGATCCTTTAAGTCCTGTAAGTTGCGAGGTGGGACCTCCATGGATCAGACCCGTTTGTCCAGCACATCCCACCGATGCTCTTTTGGATTGAGATCTGGGGTATTTGGAAGCAAAGTCAACAACTCGATGTGTTCCTCAAACCATTCCTGAACCATTTTTGCTTGGCGGCAGGGCGCATTATCCTGCTGAAAGAAGTCGTCTAGCCATCACAATTTGGCCTCTGTCAAAATTGCTCAGAAATTAAGCTCGCCCATTATTCCTGCTTCTAACACATCAACTTTGAGGACAAAATGTGCACTTGCTGCCTAATATATGCCACACACCAACATCTGCAATGGTAATGAGTCAGTGGTCATAATGTTATGGCTGATCAGTGTATGTCTTTTGCATAAAGATTGTTTGTTCATGTGGTTATTAGATATTCATATATATTGTAATTAGAATTTTTTTAAGAATATCAATATCTGTGTCAAAAATTCAGTATCTACCTGGATGGATGGATGAATTTATCATATACCCTCACCTCCTCAATTCTGTATGCCTCTATAGACTGAACATCCCAGTTACTGTTGTAACACCTTGGAGTCCAGTGTACTGCATGCACAATTGAAAATTAAATGAAACAATTATTTGTGTGACATGATGTAATGACTAGTTAAGTAATGATCTGCTGTCATGACAATGCTCAAATCCACTGATGAATCAACGGGGACATAAAAAAGATGACAGAACCATGCTCATAATAAGTTTTTTTTTAAATAGAAATATCTATTTAATTCTGTTTAAATGCCTTCGGATTACCTATTAAAACAGGATCTTTGAGCTCATGCTGTAAGGTAATGTTTTCTTGTTGTGGTGAATTTATCCAGGAAGCCTCAAGATTTAATTTCAGGCCACCGTGAGTGACATTTCCTAACGCTCCTTAAGCTTCTCCGGCACATAATTAAGAGCGTTAAGTGTGTGTTATGGTCTGCACTCTCTAAGTTCTATGAAGGATGAAGATAAAGGCCATATACATCAGTCATGCAGCGTAATTATATAAGGATATAACCCCAAGGAGCTTGACCTTTATGTCTATTCTTTATTGCTCTTTGACATTTCAGAAATGGGAAATGTGATGGAGGCTCACACTTGTTTGATGGCTACCAGCAAGAGAAGAGATTTTATACACTTTGTATTTACACAGTCAAACTACCTGGAAACACCCTTCAGGTACTTCAGGCCGTCAAGGCTGCATAAAGGCACTTGCAATTTACTTCAACAGCGACAGTTTAATTATCAACCTGCTACAGCTGAAATTATTAATCAATTGTTGATTGCCAGACAAATAATTGGCAACAATTGTGCTAATTTATTAACTGTATAAGACATTTCTTAAGCAAAAAATGGTTCTCAAAAGTGAATATACATGTTTTCTTAGTCCTCCCTATAATAGCAAATATCTTTTGGGGTTTCAACTGCTGGTTGGACAAATAGTGACATCCTTTCTTTTCTGATATTTTATAGATTAAATGAATTAATGAATTAATGAATTAATCGAGGACATTAGTCTGCCCCATTATTTTCTCAATTAATTCACAAAATGTCAAAAAAAAGCCCCAATCACAATTTTACACAGCCCAAGCTGATGCCCTCGAATTGCTTGTTTTTTCCAACCAACAGCCCCAAATCCCAAAAATGTACTACTACAAATAAAACTATTATATTGGGCTTGGAAAAACAGCAAATATTCACATTTCAGAAGTCAGAACCTGTGATTTTTTGCACTTTTTCTTTAAAAAATTGGTAATATTTTATTTTACATGTCCTTAATTTCAGAATAATTTCTTCCTGGACTATATAATTAGGTACAAATTATAGAGTAAATAGAGGCAGGCTTGTCAGTGTCCACTCTTCTTCTTCTTTGGTCAGCAGGCCAGCTGAAGATGCAAAAATAAAGAAATAAATGTAATGTATAGATAAACAAGAATACAATTTAACTTTCATAATAATGAATAAATATTAACTTTTTTCTATACCTAGCATCAAATTACACAGTTTATTTTCCAGGAAAATCCCTGGCACCTGCAAAGATTTTACTAAATGATTAATCTCTTATACAAATAGTTAGGCCACCCATGAGTTTTCTGTCAACTAAAAATCTTTTAATCAACTAATCGTTGAGAGAGTAAACAACAACAACAACAACAACATCAACAACGCAACGGCTTTAGGACCCAGAATCTACAGCGGAAGAAGAAACGCCTCACTCTCCTCCGGCCTCCACCGCTACGAAGATGCTGCAGCTCGTCCCACCAGCTCTAATAATGTGTTTTTGTGTTTTAGTTAACGGGCAACCTGAGGACTCCAGACTGACCGAGAGAGCTTATGTGTTCTTACAGAAGCAGAATTTAGGTAAGACTTGATGTCAGACACAGGAAGGCATGTCGGTCTGCAAGCTCTTAGGAGGCCTTATCGTCTTTATTCTAGTGACAAGTACTTGCTAATGAAATAGGAGAATTAAAACCATAACACCAGCTAAGCCGTCATCTTATGTCAATATCATCATTATCTGTTTATGTTTTTATCCTCACAGTCACGCTGGGGAGTGTCCTCGCAGTGCTGCTGGTGCTCATGATTGTCATGGCTGTCTGTGTCTACAAACCGCTGTCTCGTCGGTGAAAAAAGGGGGCGAAACGCTTTTAGGAGATAAAGACAGAGACAACCCTGCTGTCTGCCCGGTGCAAAGTGACACCTGCACTGAGCTACTCGGCCCCGGAACCGCAACCAACTCCTGGAAAGACCAAACTGAGGGCGAACCCGAGCTCTGCCAGCACCGAAGACATCCACAGTACAAAGGAGACACCTGAATAAACGAGTGGAGACCATAGACTGTATGTAAAAGGTGGAGACCCTGATGCAGACGCTTGCACGCATGTGCACTGCATAATAAAATTAAGCAGTTAATGTAAAATCATGCTCTGTGTCAGTTATAAAAATGCTGAGCAGGCCCAGTTGATTCTGATGCTTGTGCATTAGTGCGCTATGTAAGTGAAAAACACAAGAGCAACTTTTCTTCAGGAGACTGAGAATGTCTTTGCAAAACATGATCATACTGTCAGCAAGAACAGCCTGTCGACAATTAAGTTACAACGAGAGGGATATTAACTGTAGGGTAGCAGTGCATAATCCCTGCGTTACAAAGATGGATGCATATTCTAAATGACAATAATAACATTCTTCCTTCGTGGTAGCTCTGTATGCTACACAATCCAATTGTCCAATAGTATTCTTTCATTATGGGTTATATCCAGAGTAGGGATGTTGGATTGGAATGACTATGACCATATTTAGCAACTAGCCAACCAAATATTTTCACTGCAGATAAATCATCTAAACTGTAAATTGTCTTCAAAATGTTAACACTTGACCTGACAATAAAGATCCCCACTCTTTTTAAACATGCACATTTCAAAGTCATGATGGAAAAGTACATAAAGGTCCTTTGTTGTGAGCCCGGTCTGTGTGAATAAAGCACATGGACAAAGTCACGTTTAATCCTCGGAAATAAAGTGCTTTTATTTTATAAACAACATTTTGAAACTGACATATTTTCTTAAAATTTTAACATGTTAAAAATAAACCATTGCAGCTGGAACGGTGCATTACAAAGATCGGCATTAAATTAACCAAAGCTAGCTTCTTTAGAGTCGACTGTTAAGTCAGTTGGGAAACGCGATCATTATAATTAGTCATTTTCCAGCTGAAGCCACTGAAAGTCAGACACAGCAACGCAGGGAGACTTCTGATGAGTGGTTGGTTGTCAGTGAAATAAACTATAGTGGTTAATGCATGTTACTCAGCATCAAACTGGCACAACTGAAATCTCTTCGTGTTGTTTTTAAGTTACAAAATGTTTTATTCTTAAAAAAATCTGTTCACAAGTTTAGTCTGAGTGGCACCACATTGAATCGTCACCACCTCTTGTCCAGACAAAAGCACTGTCAGTCAGAGCAAAGCATTTCCTTGGCACATGCTGAAGAAACTAATCCTACATATGGCGGGCATGCTTGATCTTTGAGTCTGTGCAGTCTCTTCTTCTGCTCAGAGGTCTAGAGTTGTTCATGGCTACAAAAGGCTAACAGAGGGCCTTTAGGAATCTGAATAATCTCTGCAGCAATGGTTGAGGGACTGCTTCTTAAATGCATGGCGGCTGTGAATCCACAGACAAGACTGGTCTCTACTGTTGTATTTTTGAACTGAGGTGATAATGCTTGAAGTTGCTCAGTGACAGTTAACAAAAATATGTCTTTTCTCAACGTGAAATCTGAGAAAATGCTAAAAAAAAGAGAAAGTTCAAACCCTCACCCTTGTTGCAGCAAAGATATTGCGTTACCATGCACCTGAAAGTTTCTCTCACAGCAACATGCTTTTGTTTACCCATTTGTAAAGTGTTCATTCACAACATACAAGATAATGCATTTATTTATGAACTTTTGACTCAATTAAACCAACTTTCTTAAGTAATATTGGCATAGCAGAAATGCATGAGTGATAACATTTCGCACCACAGAAACATTTACCAGGCTACAATTTCCGATAGTTTTAAAACTGATTAACAAACTAATTCCAAAGTGAAGGGAAAATGTGTAAAATTGGAACCCTGAGATTTCCGTTATTCAGTGAGCCCATGGTCCTCAACAAAGGGACTCTGTAGGAAGACTTCACAGTGAAAACACTCAAATCTGTCCCTTTAGGTCCACAGTACTAGCAGCTTTCTCTTGTGCTAGGCTGTTTTCATTCTAGCTTTCTAAAAATCAGAGACTGAGGCAATAATAAAAAAAACAACAGCCCTCTAGACCTTAAGTGCCACATTTGAGTGCCTGCGCCACATGAAGTCTCCTTGAGTATTTCTGTTCATAGAACCTTAATTACACTGATTTAACCCCACTCCAGACAACAGTTTGATCAACACACATGGGTTGCTGCTGAGTCTGATTTGGAAAAGAATAATAAATAAATAAAAAAGCAGAACAGACCCAGAATTATCTTAAAGAGTAAATGTATTAAGCTGCAGGATGGAGATAGATGCTGAGATAGAAATATATAAAGGTTCTTACCAAAAATACCTTTTGGAAAATACTGGATACCGAGAGTTTGATATTGCCTGTGCAAGAAAGACCTGTTACAGAAAGTAACCTGTGGTTGCATAGATGACTACAGTGGTTGGGAGGGGAAACTGAGGTGTGGTGGTTGCTTCTGTATCTGGAAAGGTTGTGTTATTATTCCCTCTTATTCCTTTTACTTCTCAGTGAGCGACAGCTGCAGTATCCTCTCCAGCTCCTCTTCCTCCTGTTTCCTCATCCTCTCCTCTTCCGCTTGAGCTCGAGCCGAGAGCTCCATGGCCAGGCGGAGCTCTGAGTCGGGGCTAGAGGTGGCGGGGGAGCTGGCAGGGCTGGGGGTGTCTCCATATTCCACTAGCACCCCCTCTGGGATACTCCTAGAATGACATTGACAGAGGAACGTGATCTCCAGCTCCGTTCTGAGGCTTTTACTGACACATTCAAAAGGGCGAACAGCGTCATCTAAAGCCCCGTAGGACAGTAGCAAGTACTGTTCCTTTTACCACATGTAATTATGTAATTGCTATGCCAGCAAACCTTAACCTATGTTCCTACCTGTCACTCTGGCTACTAGGCATTACATCAGTGAATTCCCCATCAGCATCATCCCAGGTCCCCTCCTATAATGACACAAACGTCCACAGCATTTAAGGGATGCAGTGAGTGGCAAAATGTCAGAAAAATTATAGGATGTGTGTGATGTGTGTGGTGAGCTGATTAAGTGATGCTTGTTCTGACCTGGCCCGGGACTCTGCGAGACTCCAGAAGACTCTGGTGGATGGCGTACTGCAAAAGCTCCTCGTCATTGTTGGACACAGTTGTGTGTCGGGTGCCTCCTCGACGATGGTAACTGACAGGCACGTCAAACACCGAAGGACACACTTGAAACAGAGGTAGTGCTGGATGGATGAAGACCAAAACATACACGGTTTAGGAATTGCAATTTTAACACGTTGTCACATTTAGCAGTTAAGCTGGCTGTATTCCTACCTGCAGCCTCTTCCTCTTCTCCCGAGGATGTTGGTGTGGCTGCTGGCGTCGTGGTGGCCTCCTCTTCAGTACTGCATTTATTGACATTACCAAATGTAATCCTGGCGTTCAGCACATGAAACAGGGGGATCTCTGCAAGAGAGGAAAACACAACAGATCAGATGTAAAAACAGACTTCAGAGGGGGAATGAGACTAAAGCTTTATGTGATGAAAGGAATGTCACATACCTATTTTAACAGGAAATCCAGGAGGAAACTTCAGGGTCACAAAGTCTCGTAGCCGCGCAAAATGGGAACTGGTCCGAGCCATGAGGTCAATAATGGGGGTCACCTGCTCCACCAGGGACAGAGGATGTTCCTCGCTCATCCACAACGTACCTTTAAACCTGCGTGAGACAAGGTTGAAAAGAAAAATGCTGTTCAACTGCACACACAGCTTAATTTCTTGATATTGATAACACGTAGCTATGAGGTTTCTGTAGCCGTAAAGCTGCGCTTCTTACTTCTGTGTTCGAACGCTCAGTTCAATGGGGCGGCCAATGTCTCTGTCCCCCAGTTGAAAGTCTGGATCAAAATATTCCTCTGGAGTGATGGCGGTGGGATTGGTGGCAGTTGCATACTCAAGAGTCAGGTCCTACAAAGTTGAGCACAAAGATCAAATCAGCTACCAGGTGGGAACAAAATACATAATTTTTAAAGGAATTTATTTAACGCACGTCTTACCCCTTGTGCACTTATGTGCTGCTCCACAGTCCCCAGCAGAGACTCCAAGATGTTCCTTTCACCTTTGAACAAAAAAAAATTCTAACTTGCTAAAAATACATATATTGAAGGACAGATAAAGAACTAAATGAAGATTCTATTCCACCTACTTTTTATCCTGGCTTTCTCCTCATCTGTAAGATGCTCTGTCCTCGTCCTGATTACCACATTTACATTGTTCACACTGAAAACCTACAAAACAACCACAGTCTAATGTCATATACGATCACACATGGGCTCCACACTTTTCAGTAGTACTACACTGTAAACAAAAGAAAAAAGTATAACATCTGTGTACCTTTGCTTCAAATCCATTGACCACTTCAGTTTTGTCAGCTCTCCAGCCCCAAATGCCAGATTTGTTCCTGTGAAAACAAAAGCACCATTTACCGACAAAATTCACCATCATATCCCTCAGTTCTAAGTAACGTCCACAATATAGAGAATACAATGATGCATTACAAGCTACATGTAGCCTACTATTATCTGTGATTATTCTCTAATTTTAGTGGCTTTAACAGTGTTGCATCTCATTGTTAAGTTTTGTTTTTAGATAAATTTTGTTCTTCATAGCCTCAATTTGCTATTTCTCACCTCATGGTATTGACTAACACGCCTAGTTAAATTTGCTCACATTATTAATATAGACTATAACTTGAGGTTGTTTGTTTTTAGTGTTATACAACATGCACACAAAAAGTCACAAAAGTAAGCATTGATGGTAGGACAACCTTTGAAAGAATAAGTCAGGGTAAATTTTGTATTTTAGTTAGTTAATTCAATGCTAGATTGATACTGGAAGCATCATCCAAAGCTCAGTGTAAAATGATGACTAAGAAGCCTAATTTAAACAGTAACCTCACTCAGGGAGCAAAAACGTTAAAACAAGTGTGGAAATGAGATGAAACACTGTCAGTGTGGAGTTTGTTCCCAGTGGATCAAAGGAAGTGAGATCTATGCATGTTGTGAGAAAAAGGACAACAGAAAAAGATGTGACTCTTGCCTCTCAAAAGCAATATCCTTGGTGTCCAAGTACGTGTTCACAATAGGAGTAGTCAACCTTTTGGCAACTTCCTGTTCAGCAGGCTGCATTGACTCCAGCGTGACATCCTCCATTTCTTGGGATATGTTGAAGCGTTCAGTGTCCACTACTTCATCGTCATGGTTCACCTCCATCAACTCTGCATGTGAATCTGTAAAAACACAGTCAGGGAGGGACTTAAACACTTTTACAGAAGTAGTACAAAAACATAAGAGAAAATGAATCACAGAGAAATCTGTTTTCATTAAAAAACAACCACACACACACACCATCTCCTCTGAAGATGTAGCTTCTACGCCCTCTGATCCACGTCATGTTTTCAAAGCCTAGAAGTGTGGCATCCACTCGCAGGCTGGCGCCACTTTTCCAAATGCGACAAACATCACTTGGACAAACCCGGGATAGAAGAGGGACTGTGAAGCAACAGCACATGAATGTCCCACAATGGAAATGTATCCGCACAAAACAATGTGACTTATTACTAAACCAAAACAAATTCTTCAACTAGCACAAGGCAGGTATGCAGCCTGTATGACCTGATGAAAACTCTTGGCTGGCAGAGATTATGCCTTTTCTGTCGATATTTGATTACAGGACACAGAATTTGAAAAACCTTGTAGATACCTTCTTCTTTTGCATGCTGAATTGCTGACGACCAGTTTGTGCTACATGAGCACGTCACAATGCACACACAGTCTATTTTACTTTTATGTCATATAGTCAGCTAACACAGCAAGAACTTACTCCAACTGGTGAATTCCCACTTCATTTCCATATAGAAGTCTGGAGACTGTGAAAAAAAGATAAAACGAGCGATTATTTGCTTTGCTAGTAACAATTTCCAGGCACCCATGACAAAACGATGGGAAAATGACCTCTCGGATCTTCGCCAGCAGCTCAGGCACTCCTCCCAGAGCAGTGGAGGCTTTGAGGTAGTCTCTGCGTTGAAGCACTAACTGGACCATCTCTGGATCTCCGGTACTGACTGCCTCCTGCAGCACTACACAGAGACAGACAAGTACCAACAAACCACTAAACACTTTAAAAGCAACAGCACATGTTCCCTAGGAGTGGCAACCACCCATTAAAAAAACCTCAACATTGGAGGTAATAACCACAGAAAGTGATTCTGTTTCACTGCAGTCGGAGGAGTGGACATGCATTTTTACCAGAAACCCCATTAACAGCAGATGATGTGTAGGTTAATGTGAGAAGGGCTTGACGTGATCAAACAATCCACAAACGCTTAAAAAGCATATCTGCAAGACAAGTGAAGGAAACATTCAGGGTGTCATTGCCCTAAGTTTTATTACTAACCTGTCCAATTCATGCTGTTTTCTTTTGTCACTTCAGCACCATGTCTCAGAAGGACTCTCACCGACTCCAGGTGCCCCAGCGACACAGCGAGGTGCAGAGGCGTCCGACCTCTGGGATCAACAGCCTCGATGTCATTCTGAGAAAAATCAAGGAGAAACCCACACATGTGTTTCCCCTGCAACTCATAGGCACCCGGTTAGACTACATACTGCAGCACTGACATGACAACCTGTTATATAAACAAAAGAGCAGGCCTTGTAGTATTGCTTCACTTGTAACTGAGGGCCTTCACATTGTAACTTATAGAGTCATAATTTTACACCTTTTAACTTCAGCCATCACTGATAATGATACAGGACTGCAGTAGTCAGTACACGGACAAGACTGGGCTTCATGTTTGGTCCTTACGTGACTCATGCTACTGAGGTAAATGTGTTATTCTTCAGCTTTGCTGGGTAGTAACAATTATAGCGACTGAATCATAGTAATTCTTTTTTAACAATACACAGTATTAATTGTGATGAGTTACTGTGAGGAAATACACAAGGAGAATATAAATGTTTTGGAACAATTACCACTTACTTAGTCATAATTTGTTAGATTACTCAGATGCATGTTTGATAGGAATGACACTGTAAAGATAACATTATCTCAAACTCTTTGGAATAATAATCAGAGCAAAGCAGATTCTGGATCAAAAATCACTCCACATTTTGTACTGTTCACTAGTTTTACCATATTTCAATTACTGTGCTGAGATTTGGGGACACAACTACAAACGTTCATGACATTCACTATCTATTCTCCAAAAAAGAGCAATAAGGATTATTCACAACGCTGGGTATCGGGATCACACGCACTCATTTTCTTACAGTCAAAATTACTAAAATTCATAGATCTTGTGAAACAGCCCAAAATAATGATCAAAAACAAAAATAACCTATATTACCAAATATTATTCAGGGAGAGAGAGGTAGGTTGTAATTTAAGGGGGAAACACAATTTCAAAACAAACAGGACAACCAGGAAAAGTTTTTGCATTTTACTCCCTGGAGTAAAGCCATGCAACAGTCTCAATGAGGAACTAAAGCAATGTCCAAACATAAATCAGTTTAAAATCAAGTATAAAGATATGGTTTTCATGTGTTACAGTGATGAAGAAGGGGGTGAATAATCAACAAGTGTTTTCTAGGGCTAGTATTTATTTTCAGTTTTGTTTTTGTTGTTATTATTTCATTTTATACTTTGAGTTGCTGAAATTCATTCTTTCCTTTTATGTTCTTTTTTAAATAATTGATGTACATTTTGAATCTATTTTATATATGACAAAGTAGATGTGTAAATATTAATTTGGAAGGCCAGTAGATTATTTATAAGCATTTGATTTGTGGACAAGGGGTGGGATTAAATAAGTTTTTTTCCCCCCTCTTCCCACTTCTTTTCGATTACTTAAAGAAATTGACATGAGTTTGAAAAAGAACTATTTTACTATTATTATACTATATCACAGGTATATTATTATATGTTTATTTGATAGCATTTTCTTGTCGGGTGTTTCTGTTTTACACATAATCGTAATAAACACATAATAATATCACATGAGAGCCTGTGAATTGTCAGGGGCGCAACACACCACAAACCTATAACGTTACATTTATTTGGTAAAGCAGATCTTATGTTATCATATCACTAACACATTTTTTATAAGACCTGTTGATCAGGGAACAGCTATGTCCTCAGAGACATTTCAAACATTATCTGTGTGTGAGTCTGCGGAGCATCTGTCAACACGACTGGCCTACTTTGACTGGATGGCTACGGATGTCGAGCAGGTCACTCCTAGCTTCATCTAGCTAGCGTTCGTGTGAAAGTTTGCAGCATATCCAGTGTTTAACCAACCTGTGGTAACGTTATTTGTTCTTCCAGTCTCCTGTAATCATTCTCCCACACTGCGGAATGCAGGGGAAACTTCACTCTGATGTCTTCGCTAACGTTAGCCGTGGACATCTTCCTCTTTGTGTAGCCGCTCAGTGCAACGTTAGCCCGCTTCTGATAACTACAGCCATGGGAAAAACTGCGCTACCTGCACGCTAGTTATACCATATGATCCATGCTCCTAGTATTTGACAACAACAACGTTGAAATATCCAAACCGGTGTCCAACTTTTCCCGTGCCTTCCCCCAAAATAAAACTTTTGAACAAGGAAGTGCCAGGAGTAGTCCTCAGTGATGACAGGGGTGTCCTACGTAGAAATAAACTCACAGTTTAATTAACTCCATCTAGGTAAGACAGGTTACCAAACCCCTTCAAAACAGAAATTAATTTATGTGTAATAACTATTATTTATGTGGTTGATACACGACAGATACACGATTTGTAAATAAAACCATCGCCTTTAGAAAAAAAAAGATGGTCGCTTCCAGTTGGACGGAACCATTCAACACATCCGCATGGGGGCTGCAAAATACTGAAAGAAAAATAAATAATTCCCTAATAATTGATAATATTAAGTAAGTAATTAATTAATGTAAATGATGTCTCTAACGTTAGACAATAAACTGACTGTTAGGCCTGTAAGGTAATGACTTTACATTTTATGGAGGGACTGGGAGATTGAACATCTGAAAGTTTACCGCCACCTTACTACTGTGTACTAATAGCTGTATGTAACGACACTTTGTCCTTTTAAACGACAATGTGACATAATCCGTGGTGCTTTGCTCTACGAACATATGCTTGATACTGAAATGCGGACACATAGTCTTTAACCTTTAACACAAACATGGGTCTGTTGATCCAGCCTAACCTCAGTTGTGTATGAACTTGTTGTTTTCTCGTTATTTGATGTAAAAGTACACTGGTGATATTATTGTGAGTCCTTTAATAAGTTGTAATGGATGGAAATTCAGTAAACGTCTCCCCATTATTAGTTTTACAACGTACTCTTTATGGTCCGTGTCACGAAGGTGCTTAGATCAAGCTCACCTTCTGCGCCTACGTTTAAAATTTACTTTTATAGCCCTCAGCTAGGTCTCTCAGGCTTTGTACCGCCAAATACCACCGCAAACAAAAGCAAACATTATGTGTTAGCTGTAGCTGTTAAAATCAGAGTTACCATTGTAGTATTTGCCGATTCAGGAGAAAGAGACAGGAGGCGTTACTTCTATGCAGGAAGTGTAGTTCCTGAGAGGCTAGGCTCTGGGCACACTGTCCCATGCCAATAGGTCACAGGCGCAGCTGCCACTGGGAAAGCTCTTACCCTGCCGTGTAGTTACCAGACTGAAGAGTAAACTACATAACGGGCATAGGCTAGTTAGCTAATCAGGTGCTAAGTCAGCTTGGCACGCAGCATTGTACCTTATTCCTGTGGGGCGGTGTTATAATGGTTGTATCGTTAACACTGGCAACAGTTAAAGGAAGTAACGTTAGCAGGTCGTTGTTTGTAGTGTTTTTAATTAGCTAGGTCTAGCTAACGCGGAAGGCACCCCCACAGATTAATCAATGATTAGCATAACATAACGGACATAACACTCTTTTCTCATTTACAAAGGGCCTTTCTTCCTGAGTAAAGATGTCTAAACGGCTGCGGAACACCGAGCTCTGCGCTGATTGCAGTGTTCCAGGTAAGCAAATCCAGACCATCCCTGCAGTGTTTAGCTGTTAGCCTTTTATATATTCACTTAACGTTTGGTACTTCAAGCTATGTAAGACAAAGCCTTGCACTCTTCTGGCTTAAATCAGATTATCAGTGCTGCCCCACGCTGCTTTCTTCTTTACAGTAAGTTAGAAATGCAGTGTGCTGATTACACTTGGCAAGTTGTTAGTGGTGTTGACAGGTCACTAACGTTATAGCTCTTGGGTTGAGGATGCAATTAGACCTGTAGCAGCTGTCTTTTTAACTGTTTCCATCCGGTGTTACTTGTTTTAAATAATCAGGCAGGCTTTTTTAATGTGTGTCAATACACAGATTTACACAGGTTTGTCACAAAAACCTATCTAGATTTGAAATGATGCCATGCAGACGTTTCCAGTGAATTTGAAATGTAATCAATCACCTATTATGAAATCTCATCCTAGATCAGCAGGAAGCTGTTCTATGAGCTCTCTGTCTGAAGCACAACTAGGATGACTGCATCACTCATAAAAAGTCAGTGGCTACAGAGGTCTGCTGTCATCATGCTTTTTGTACACCACACAGGGATAATGGTAGTAAGAGAGAAGCCAAACCCTTGTTGACAATATGTGAGTGAACTTTTTAATTAATTGTGATGATGAGAAATGACTGAATGAAATTACTCTTAATGGTATGGCTTTTTCCTCCACTGATCCTAACTGTCACCAATTTAAAAGATTGATTGGTGAAAACCATTTTTACATCCTAAATCAAATCTAAAAATCAGATTGAATCAGTTGCTGCACTCTGTTATCTGCAGTGATTGGTAGCGGATGGATTATTCCATAGTCAGTCCATTGTATGACATCAGAGTAATACCAGCATCGTCTAACAGAGATCTGTTTGTTCTAAATAGTATTAGGGATGTGAGAAAAATGGAATAAAGTTTTTACAGTGAAACGTTAATGTGAAAGCTATTGCTAGTTGCATTGTGCGTGAGGTACTTTCAGAAGTCCCATTTATGTAGAAATGACGTGATGTTTTTCAGCAGCCACAGGAAGCAAAACAGGATGCTGAGTGAATCGACTGCTTTGAATGCAGAAGACATTTTGTAGACTATGTATTGTAAATGTGATATACTGTAAGAGTAGAGCACGAATTGTTTTCAGGAATGCATTTTTTTTTTTTTTTTAACGAATTAGTAAAAAATCTGTGCACTGGTTACTTGTCTCCTGCACAATACAAATCAAGAAAAACAAAAACAAGTATTGTAAATATTCAGTATTATTCAAGTTTTAGTACCCTGTCCCTCATCGTGTCATTCAAACTAGTTAAGCCCCTCAGGTCTCCACGGCAGCTGGCCTGGATTGCCCTCCTATACAACTGTTACCAGTTGTTGGGTGGGAATATTTTTAGAGTTTCAAGATGTGGTATTAAATTTAGCAGCACTTGTTGAGGAAAGGGTAAAAGAGGCATGTCAGCATCAACTCTCAGGTCTTGGTGGAGGAGACTCTGAAAACTCGGGGACCAGGTGCCAGAATTTGACCAGCAACCCCTGCAGCTGTTCCTCATACACCTCAGCTGCTGCCTGGACGCTTACAGCCTTCACTGTCTGTCCTGTCACAGGGCCAGGCTCTCAATCTGCTTAACAGTTAATTGGCTATATCAGAGTGTCAAATGAATTTCAAGTATTTTTGGTGATGTTGAGATGTTTGCTGTCAGTAGAGTCTCGGTATAAACTGTTAGTTGAAGTGTGGTAAAAAGATTGAGGTTAAGTAAACACTTCTTTTGGTTTTCAGTGCACTCTGCTTCAGTTTCTAACACCATGCATTTCCTGAATATGCATCACTTGTCTAGCATTTCTCTGTAATTTATTTATACAGTGTTTTGAAAGAGGAAGCCGCGCTATTGCTCAACAATACGGTTGATGTGTTTCAACCTTCAGCTGCTAGTCTTCACTTCCTTTTTACACAATGCATGGCCTCACCTAAATATGCGATCAAAAAGGTCTTAAATGCTTATTGTTGTTGTTGTTGTTGTTGTTGTTATTATTATTATGGCTACCCTTGGTTTGGCTTATTTCTTTTCTTTCTGCTAGTTAGATTGTGTTTGTGTGCATGTGGTCTTTATGCCCGACGACGAAAAGACATACATCTTTTAAAAGGAGGTCAAAAATATGAGAAATCATTTTTAAAAAAGGCTCAGTAATTTCCGGGAACAGCTGGAAACAGCTTTTCAGCAAATGTTACTCAAGCAGAAGTAAATAGTGTATTTGCAAGTGTCTATTTTAAGCCATGGATTAATGGATGGATTACACATTTGATGCTCTACTGAGTATTTCTAACAGCAAGACGGTGTATGTGGCATTCAGTGAGGAACAAGGAGAAAAAAGGAGAAGTGCTATGATCTGCAGGAGCATGTCAGTGATTTGAATAATGGTACTGAATGTGAAGAGAGGAGATGACTTGTCATACATTTCTAACTGACTCAGCTTAGACTAACTATCAAGATAAAAACTGGCACAAATCTGTTAAAGCTGGAGGAGATGGTTTACTTTTAGCTACTCCTTGAATGACATACTTAACCAGTCGTGATTCATGCATTAGATCACCGCGAGTGTCATGATTTTCACTTTGCGGTTTTTTTCTTCTCTCTCAGAACCTCGCTGGGCCTCGGTGAACAGGGGCGTGTTGATTTGCGATGAGTGCTGCAGCGTTCATCGGAGCTTGGGCAGACACAGCTCCCAAGTCCGCCACATGACGCACACACCATGGCCTCCTACGCAGCTACAGGTAAAAACACAGGAAAATGTTGTATTTATATTTGCCTGTGTGAAGCTACACATCTTTATGCTTTCGGCTATGAAGTTGATGAGTTTATGAGTGCTGATGGTGAAGTGTCTCTCATGCAGTGCCCTGAGATCACATCATCCTTTACATGCAAACTGTATTACTGCAGTTTTAAATTCAGCAGGCCTGTGTCTTTGCTCAAGAACAGTTGTGCATCAGATCACGCAGAGGTGTATTGATTTTGTCCAAATATAGAAAGTGTTTATTCAGGAGGGCTGTTAACAGCCAGTCAGCAATCTGCAGTCTGAATCACTGGTATACATTTTACAGGCTTTCTTTTACATGTCACCCTAGATGGTTCAGACGTTATACAGCAATGGTGCAAATTCAATATGGGAGCACTCCCTTCTGGACCCTGCATCTGTGATGAGTGGAAAACGCAAGGCCAACCCTCAGGACAAACTGCAGTGAGTCATTATTGTTTGAAAATAATGAGTACTTTTTGATGTTGACTTGATGTTAATTTAATAAACAAAAAATGAGATTGTTGACCTTCCAAGTTTAGCATGTGCCACTGCCTCTTCCTTCCTGTTTGAACCTCCATGTTTCATGTTGTTCTGAAAGCCCAAACAAATCAGAGTTTATAAAAGCCAAATATCAAATGCTGGCATTCGTGCATCGCATGCCTTGCCGGGAGGACGACAGCTCGACAGCCAAGGACTTAAGCAAGGTGAGGAGAAAAAATTGCTCACAATGATTAGGAGAAAACTGAAACATGGTTTTGTTTATTGTTTGGTTTCGTAAAGTCATAGCGATGGCCGTTTCTTTGTTGTTTTTTTGTCCTCCCAGCAACTTCACTCAAGTGTACGCACTGGGAATCTCGAAACGTGTTTGAGGTTGCTATCCCTGGGAGCACAAGCAAATTTTTTTCACCCCGTAAGATTCACCTGCTGTATTTAAAATCAGAATTTTCATCTTTGCATTTACTTTTCTGTTGCTTATAGATCAAAATGCTTTGTCATGGTAATCAACCTCCTCTAGGAAAAAGGGAACACTCCCTTGCATGTAGCTGCAAAGGCAGGACAAGTATCTCAGGCTGAACTGTTGACTGTTTATGGGGCAGATCCTGGAGCCCCTGACAGCAATGGCAAAACTCCCATTGACTATGCAAGGTTCGTTCTTTTTTCTTTTTTTTTCTTTCTTCTTTTTATAAATCAAACACAAAATGTTATGGGCCCATAATGTCACCCTTTGAAATATGATGATGTGTATTTTTTAAACATGTCTTTGTAGGGAAGCCGGCCACCATGACCTGGCAGATAGATTGGTGGAGATTCAGTATGAACTAACAGATCGACTGGCGTTCTACCTGTGTGGGAGAAAACCAGGTATGCAGGGAGAGAGATCTGCAATTTTAAATGACTATGTGTTTTAAAAGAAATAGGTCAAAGAATATGTGCATATAGGGTTGGAGTGAAAGATAGTTTAGACTTGGCACACAGGGCACTATAATCAGCGACGGGGAAACTCTTAAGTATTTCAGCTTGTATAGATTTCACCCATGTGGCACTCCAAGCAGATAAAAACAACTGCTCATGTTATTTAATCAGTTTTGTGAATACCGATATGTACTATAAGTAAGTCATACTTAATAAGTATCATTGATGTCGTTGGCAGTCATCCAGAACATACTTGTTGTTTCTTTCAGATCATAAAAACGGCCAGCACTTCATTGTTCCACAAATGGCCGACAGGTAAGAAAGCAGAAGCTGTAAGTCAACATAATGTAAGTCAATATTAAGTGGTACGTCTTTGAATAACATGTGTCTTAAGTGAATGGGTTTAACTTGAGAGCGCCGCTAAAGCAGTTGTTAATGGCTTGCTCTGAGCTAAGGCCTGTTCGGACACGCTGATCTGTTATCTGTGTTAGAGAAAACAGAGCCAGTGAAATAGTTGACATGCCTAAAATCTTTGTAATTGCTGCAAATAAGTCAAATGTTGTTCCAAACAAGCAGAACAGCCACTGTAGAGCAATCACTGTGCCTTTTCCAGTTTTAAGTCAAACATTTGATCTGTTTCATTGCTCTCTTTTGATGGATAAGGAACATGTAAGTATTACTCAGAATGAAGTGTGCACCATGTCGACCTAACGATTCATCAGCATAATATTTATGAATGTTATTTTCTGTTGGCAGCAGCTTAGATTTATCAGAACTGGCCAAGGCAGCAAAGAAGAAACTGCAGTCGGTAAGTATGATTGCAGTGATGGACTTTCACTGTACAGAGCTGTTTTTTCTCCCTTTTACATGTCTGACTGTATGTCATTTCCTAATTTTCATACAGCTCAGTAATCATTTATTTGAGGAACTGGCCATGGACGTGTATGATGAGGTGGACAGACGAGAGACTGATGCAGGTAAAGTAAAAGATATTTTGTAGTGGCGTCTCTCCTCACATTCGCTCCTCCAAAGCGGGCACCATTGATCTCATTCTCATACTGTTATTTGTAGTGTGGCTAGCTACACAGAATCACAGCACCCTGGTGACAGAGACAACCGTGGTGCCTTTCCTTCCTGTGAATCCAGAGTATTCATCAACACGAAACCAGGCAAGTCAGCTTTACAGAACACCCAAGCCAACACTTTGTTGTCTCCCCCTGCAGATATTTCCTCTGAAGTTAGATTGTGTCTTTGTATTTCTTACTTAGGGACGGCAGAAGCTCGCAAGATTTAATGCACATGAATTTGCAACTCTTGTGATTGACATATTAAGTGATGCCAAGCGCAGACAACAGGGGAATTCAATAGCCAGTCCCAAAGGTCAGTGTCTTTCTGTTACTTTATTCCAAGATCTTACTGACAAGTGTAGCACAGCTATACAGTAACTATTTGTGGTCCTTCATTCCAGACAACGTTGAGTTTATCCTGAAGAGTGTGGCTGTCAGGCATTGTAGTGATAGCCAGGACAATGACCAGCCTGACTACGACAGTGTGGCGTCCGATGAGGACACGGATCAAGAGCTTCCCTCGAGCAAAGGCGATAGGACCAAGGTATCGTTGCATTGCTTTCACAGCTTTCACCTCTGGGTGCATTTTTCCCCATTTTATTTCTAACCCCTGTCTCCAACAGAGCCTGGACTCTGACGTCTCAGATGGCCCAATCACCATGCACGAGTACTTGGAGGTGAAAAACGCGCTCTCTGCCTCTGAAGCCAAGATCCAGCACCTCATGAAAGCAAACAACAACCTGAGCGATGAGCTGAGGCTGATGCAGAAAAAGGTATCCACCGCGATCCACCAATAAGATCACTAACACCGGGGGGGCCGGACTGAGGGGGGGCCACAGTGGTCAGCAGAGCTCTTCTCCTACCCAGTGTGACTGCTCTCTGGTGTGGAAGGCCCAGCCTGTGGGTTATAAGAGGGCCAGGCTATCTGAACAGGAATGCTCTGTTGCAAGATAAGGCTGCTGCGACACCCTGCTGGTCCACCCTCTGTTTTGGCCAGCATGATCAATTTCATAGCTTGAATGCAAACTGAGACTTTTTTGCGTGCGTGTGTGCTTGTGTGTGTGTGTGTGTGTTTGTTTTGTGGATTTGAGAAGAAGAAATGCACCCTTTCTCCAGTTAATAACACAAAACAGTTTAGTTCCCCTTTTTGTATTTGAGTTAAAGCTGTCTAATGTTACTAACAAGCATGTTTCAAGAAAAAGCATGAAGTAATTGACAGTTGTTTTTAAGCCCTTCACAGTTCATAGTGACTAACTGAAATTGTATGTGTGTGCCTCGCTTCATCACATATACTGTGTTTACTGCATAGAATGTTTTTGGATGATTTCCTTTAGTACATGTGGATTTATTGTTTGACGTTGTTTTGTAAGAGGTCATATTTCATAGAAAAGCATACAAATCTGGAATGCTGTTACCCTGCTACATCAAACTGCTGTTTATAGACATGACTCTGTTACGTTTGAGAGTCTGCACAAATGTATGCAATGAGCTTCAAGTTAGCAATGTGTATCTTGCTAAATCCAAACGATTCTGAAAATGATCATTTGAGCCACAAATGTTCAAAGCATGTTACAGCTTCATTTATTTTTTATTTTTATTTTTTTAATGGAACCCGTCAGCGAGTTGGAATTTTATTTCTTGTGTTAAAATTGCTTTAATTTGGCTGTT